CAGGCCAATTTTTATCATAAATCTCTGATTCTGAGAGGATCCATTTCTTTAGTTAAAAGCGTTACTGTACAGACCAGGCCGGTGTGGCTCGTTTGGTTGGAACGTTGTCCTGTACACCAGGAGGCTGGGGGTTCATTTCCAGTCAGGACACCTACCCAGGCTGCGGGTTCCATCCCTGGTTGGGGCGCGTGTTGGAGGCAATCTATTGATGTCTCTCTCTCTCTCTCTCTCAAATCAATAAACATGTTTTAGAAGAAAGTTTTTGTGTATACAATAATGTCCCTGTAATTGCAAAGAATAAATGTGCACGTAAACCAAGAAAAAATTCATTTGGCAAAACCAGTAAGCTAAATTGTCATTACACTGTATTTGGGGAATCAGCCGTCTTTATTGAGGTTAACTTTTAAAGAACGAGAAGCTGATATTTGTTTATGTTTGTATTGTGAGGGAGGGTGATAATGGTTTTGATTATAACAAAGTTGGAGTGATTCGATTTCACTTCAGAGGAGGTAGACAGACTGACTCATTTTTATCGTAGGCAGTAGTAGAAGTAGAGTGACAAGTTCGAAACCGAAAATTGTGCTTTTTACATTGGATAAGTTGCTTTCAAATGGTAACGAGAAAGTGCAGATTAGTTTTCTGCTGGTGTGCTTCATGGTCAAGTTTGAGATGGCTGCCACTAAAGCCAAGGTACATCTAGGAATCCACCTCATTTCGTACTATCTGGGCTATTACTGTGATTGATAGCTTTTTATGCCCCAAGTTGGTCTACACTTTGGATGCTAGGATTAGCATAGTGTTCAGTGCTATGGTTAGAGAATAAGGAAAAAAAGACTGTGAAGTGAAACTGCCAGTACTGTATTTCATGTCTGTACAGTACGTAATATTACCCTGTTTTATCATGTTGGCCATTATTATCTATAGATAGCAAGTAAGTAGTGTGTTAAGTTTTCTGTGTCTTTTTGGGTGAGGTTTTAATGAGACTCAAGTTGTTTGAAATAGTCATTTGGGAGATTGGGAAGGCAGTTTTCAAGCTTATTTGTTAATTATCTTTTTAATGATGTTGATATGCCAGTGGTCCCTGCCACTTGTATGTCGGTGTAGAGGAAGGGCAGAGACAGCTTCATGGGTGAGCCCGCTTAACCACAGGGACGTGAAAAAAGATGCAGGGGCAGAAGGAGATAGGGCAGTAATGTCTCAGAAAACTGTACTGTGAAATCAAAGTTAGTTGCATTGGGACATTAAAGGAGATACGACAGTCATGGAGAAGTAGGGAGACACAGTGAACTGGAAGCCTGGTGTAATGGGCATAGCTGAATGTTGGAAAACAAGGATATTCTTTTTAGAGTGATTGCTTGGTACACTGATGTTGGAAGTTTGCGACAGTGAATTGATTATGGAAGGAAGACTGCTTACAATTATTGGGGATCAGGGTCAGTAAGAAGAGAGAACATGTTATGTGTAAGTGTAAGAACACTGTGTATGTGTAAGAATTCAATTTGCTTTCCAATCACAGATTATCCAAAATAAAAATAACTAAGTGAAATACAGTTTACCTCCTCATTTAAAAGAAGATTTTATATTGTCAGTACCCAGTGTCAGTATGCAAATTCCATGAACTCATTAGGGATTCACATTCTTTCCCATTTCAAATCTAGAAACAAGCATGTGGTGACCATTTCCCAGGTTGCTTGTGTCCAGGATGTCCACTAGTGTTGCAGCCATCCCAGTTTTATTCGAGGCAGCAGGAAAGAAAAGGAAAACAGAAAAAGTAAAATCTTGCCCCTGCTATCATTCCCTTTTTTATATAAGATTTTATTGATTTATCTTTAGAGGGGAAGGGAAGGAGAGAGGGAGAGAAATGTCAATGTGTGGTTGCCTCTCGTGCATCCCCTGCTGCACGTGCATCCCAGGCACGTGTCCTGACTGGTGATCGAACCTCAGTCCTTTAGTTCGCAAAGTCCATGCTCAATCCACTGAGCTACACCAGCCAGGCTCATTTCCCATTTTAAGTTGACTTTCCAGAAGTCTCTCCCAACAGTGTCTGGTTGGTTGAATGATATTAATTTTATTTACATGGTCATAGTTTGCTTTGAGGAATATTGGGAAATGTACTATTTTGGCTGGGCACAGTACAACCCTCTAAGAATGTCTGGTTAGTAAGGGAGATGGGAAGAATGGATGTGGAAAGGCAGCTCTCAGTCCCTGCCGAAAGTATTGATTATCTGTGTGAACAGAGATTTTGTTGGAAGAACACAAAGGTCCATGGGTGATTATAAGCATAGCAAGATCAAATGGGCGAGGGCGGCATGAGCCCTAGACCAGCATGGTGGAAGACATTGAGAAAATGCTGGAATGGAAGTAGCTGTGGAGTACAAAGAGAAAGCAGTCACACTTCCCAACCCTGAGATAGAAGGAATATAAGAGAATTGGATATTACTACTCAGAAGGACTGCAAATGATTTCTGTAAGTGACATCCAGGTTTTCGTCAAGATAAACAGAGAAAAGGGATGTGAGGAGATGCTTCTGAAGCGGTAGCTCCAGGGGCTACAGTAGGAGGAATGGGGGCGTGGGGAAGAGGCTTGGGCTAGGTTGGGGCAAGAAAATACCGTGTATGCTTAAGGAGTGAGAATGCAGTGAATACTGACTCTTAAGCTTTTGGTCGGCCACGTGAGTTAATCACAAATCTTCAATATATTATATAAATCACCTGTAAACTACATTTATGTACTGGGGTGCTAATACTGTATGTATTATAAAAGATACAGAAAATTTAGCCCTAGCTGGTGTGGCTCAGTGGACTGAGTGCCGGCCTGCAAACCAAGGGGTCGCAGGTTTGATTCCCAGTCAAGGCACACACTTGGGTTGCAGGCCAGGTCCCCAGTAGGGGGCATGTGGGAGGCAGCCACGCATTGATATTGCTCTCCCTCTATTTCTCCTTTCCTTCCCTTCTCTCTAAAAATAAATAAAATCTTTTAAAAAATAGAAAATTTTAAAAGTTAAGATAAAAATATTAGTATCCCTACTGACATATTTTCCCCTACCCTAGCCAATTGTTTTTGCCAATTCTTGGGGTCACCTGGCTCGCAAAGGCTTCAGCCTCTGTATCTCTTTAGGCAGTGACTCTATTAGGGAAAGTACGAGCCACCTTGCGTGGAGTTAGTTAAACAGGTAGGCCATCAGACTGAGGTGGCCCTAATGCTGTGGCAGCCTGTGTAAGCAAACTGCAATCCAGGCGTGCGAATGCCTGTTACCAATCAGAATGCTCAGGATAGGCAGCCAAAGAGGCTTTAGCTATAGCTAATCAAGCGATTTTGTCTCTGTGCCCCTGCCCTTTCTCCATATTAGTCTGTCCCCTGGCTTAGGTCAGGGGAGTGCTCCCCTGACCAGTGTTAGTTTGGTGTTACCCTATTTGAATTGACTTTTGTTTCAGTAATTCCTAACTTTTTCAGTGTGCCTCAGTTTATATTTTAACAATCCCTACTCTTAACTAAAAGCCTTCCTCTTAAAAATAAGAGTAATAGCACTTAAAATTTCTTAGAAAATTGGTAATACAATAAGACAATAAGATTAAATTAGGGGGAAGAAAAGGTATATTTTCACTTATAGATGTTATCATATAAGAAGATGTTTCATCTTGGATCTCAGCAAAATCAAATAGGAAACAAAAAGTTAAATTATGCATATTAGGGAAGGAATCACAAATCATTAGAAAGGGTTATTAAGTGATTTTTGAGACAGATGGCAATAACTTGGGGGGGATGAAATTACAAAAGATTAAAGAATTAAATTTGAAAAATTAAACCTAAAGGATGACTAGAAAAATTATATAACTAAATATTAAGTCCCTGGAGATAAAAGAATTTCCCAAGCTTGGAAGTGATAGGGAAGAGAAATAGTAGCTTTGAGTACGTATTTGAAGCCTCCGTGTTTTAAAACAACAAGTAAATTGAAAGATGACATAGTATTTACAGCCTTTATGTTTATTTATCTAAAGAACTCATGATACACTTTAAAAATACAAATGCAAGAGAAATATTGGAAGAAATATTTAGCTTTGTGAGCTGTGACTTCACAGCTCACAAAGAAGTGTTGGGGAATTCAGTCAGTGTGAAGAAAAAAAGAGCTGACTAAAACAGGCATAGAACTTGAACTAGTCAAAAGAAATGTGGCTGGTTTAAAAAGGGGAGGGCACTCAACCGTGCTTTAAATGTATGATACAACTATGTATGATATAACAGTATGTTAGTACAGTGACCTGTTTGGGGGGACAGTTTAAGAGTAGCTCTCAAAATGAAAAAGGTGTGCATACTATGACCCAAGAATTCCACTTCTCAATATCTGCCCCAGGGACTCTCAAATGGGTGCTCAAGGAAGTATGGTAGGGCAACGTGACTTGTAATGATTCAAATCTGAGAGCTGCCCAGATACACTTTAGTCAGAATGATGTGTCCATACTGTGGAGCACTGTAGCCCAGACACAGACCCCCAAAACGTAGTGTTGCGTGTAAGAGGAAATTACTGACATGTACACACCGGTGCTAACAACAGTTTCACCTAACTGGTCACCGCTCTCGTCATTGGAAAAGCTGTTAGGGAAATCTTTAGCTTTAGCCTTATCTCGAATGTTTTCATTAATTCTTTAAAAGAGTATATTTTTACTGCCATATATAAAAATGATTCAAACAATTCTTTTTACAGCCTCAGCTCCAATCACAGTTCCCATTATTCCAGCCCATGTTGTGTTTTCATCAGCATCACTTACCTGACACTTGGAACGTGGTCTCGCACATGTGGGTTGTTTTTCTGAGTGACCCAGCTTACCAATTAAGTCACAGGTCCCTCTGACAGCTTAGAACCTAGTCTTCTTTTAACATGCCAAAAGAAAAGGCCTTACTTCGTAAAAATTTGTTATTACATCATGAATTTTTTGCATTCTTAGAATAATATTTATTGTTTTGTCTATTTGTAAATAAGATTCATTTCTCCTTTTTTGTAGGTCGTTTATATGCAATGCAAACTGGAATGAAGATTGATAGTAAAACTCCTGAATGTCGTAAATTTTTATCAAAGCTAATGGATCAGTTAGAAGCTGTGAGTTAAACTGTGATCATTTTTTTTCTGATCCATGTTTAAAATGCTATTTTATTTCATTTGTGTATTTGTCTTGTCATTTTAGTTCTTTTCCTTGGCAGCAATCAGCTGTGTTGTCATAGCTGAGGGAAAAATAGACCCAGTTTGTTGGGGGTTTTTTGTAACTTTTTTTATTATGGGAGTTATAGGCAAAATTCAAAGTAAGTCCCATTATCTTTGCATATACCATTATATCTTGTTCCATATTGTTACAGGTGGCCTTTGAGTCATCCTTTCATAAGTCTTAGAATAATACTTATTGTTCTTTATATTTGTAAATAAGATTCAGATGCAGATGGTTGAAAGGGGTTATTTATTTAGTGAAAAGAACAATGAAGTAAATATCAGTTGTCTCCTCTCTTTCTCTGGCTCTTGGTCACCTTGAATTTCACAGGTTATAGAGAGATACCAGTGTATAATTTCTCAGGTTATTTATAAATGTTGAAAGTTACTCTGATTAAAGGTTAGTTGTATAAGCAGCATTAAATCCCCTTTGGACATTAATTTATTCTATTGTAATTATGAGAATATTTATTTTGTTGAAATTCGAAAAATCCTGCCCTGGCCATCGTGGCTCAGGTGCCATGTCATCTCATGGACTGAAGGGCTGTGGGTTCAATTCCTGGTCAGGACACCTGTCTGGGTTGTGGGTTCAGTCTGGGTCGGAGCACATACCAGAGGCTACCAGTTAATGTTTTTCTCTCACATCCATGTTTCCCCTCTCTCTCCCCCCCCCTCGCCCCCTCCCTCCCTCCCCCCCTCCCCCCTTCTCTCTAAATTCAGTGAGTATGTCCTTGGGTAAGGGCAGAAAAATAAACATTAAAAAAATACCAAAATTTTAAAAAGAAGAAAAATCCTAAAGCCTTTTTTAAATATAACTTTTTTACTTTATGTTGTCTTTGAGAAAAGCAATTTTAAAGCAGTGGTGTGGTGCTAAGATTTAATATTTTAGAAAGTCATTTATTTCAGTGTGACAGTCTGAGTAAAATGTACGAATTTAGTGTATTGTTTTTTAAATACTTTATAGTATGTATAAGAAAGGCATATACTGACTGGAAATATATACAGTTGTAAATTGTGTTGATTTGAGGTTGATGTTTGTCTAAGTTTTTAAAAACTTTCATAATCCAGTTCTCTACGTTTGTCATCTGTGAGGTCTGTCTCGAAAAAGCCCAGCCATTGTTCATGTAAAGAGAACAGATCATGCAACATTGATGTAACCGGCAGTCAAGGAGAGTGGACTGGAATGCACATGGGTGAACAATGATGACTTCACTGTACCAGTCAGCGGGGGCACTAGATGCCACTGAGTGAGCTGGTGTACTATATGGCTGGCACATTCAAAATGATTGAGCAAGTAGAGCAACAAATCTGTGCCAAATTTTGCATGAAACTTAAACATTCCCCCTCAGAAACTGTTCAGACGATTCAGAAAGGCCACAGCTAACCGGTGATTGGCAGCTTCATCATGACAGCGTGCCTGCTCATGCATCACATCTCCTGCAACTTCAAATCACCCACGCGATTCAGCCCTGGTACATCCCAGAACTGGAGCCCTGCAACTTCTGGCTTTTCCCAAAACTAAAATCACCTTTGAAAGGGAAGAGATTTCAGACCTTTGATGAAATTCAGCAAAATACAGCAAGGCAGCTGGTAGCAATTGGGAGAACTGTGGGAGGTCCCGAGGTACCTACTTTGAAGGGGACTAAGACATTATTGCCCTATGTATAATGTTTTCTGTGTCTTGTTTCCTCAGTAAATGCCTCTTTTTCATTTTACATGGCTGGATAACTTCTGGACAGACCTCATATACCTTACGTAGAAATCTCTTTTTACACATGTACTCTGAGAGATACTATTTTAGGATATAGTGCTCCTTTTCATCTTTTTTTTTTAATTTAATAAGAAAAATATGGGAATAAATTAAAATTTTAAGTTATATATGGTTAGGGAAATTTTTCTAGTTCCAGTTTTAGGATACTGATAGTACATTGGAATATATTATTTTGAAATATGTGTGATGCTTTAAAGTAAATACTTGAATGTGGTATCTTTGTATTCTTGGTTATTTTGACTTCTAGAGCTAAATTATACTTTCAGCTTATCATATGCATGTTCCTTTAAAATTTTGTGAACATAGGTTTTGTTTTAAATATTTCGGGCTGAGGCAGAGCAGTGTTTTCGAGAATTCATTGATAAGCCTTTTACTGAAATAAATAAATCATTTACTTAAAATGATTATTAGGATAATTTATACTTAATATATATTTCTGGAAGTCCTAAATTATAAGCTTTGTATTTGATTTGCTTTTAGCTTAAGAAACAGTTGGGTGATAATGAAGCTGTTAGTCAAGAAATAGTTGGCTGTGCCCATTTGGAGAATTACGCTTTGAAGATGTTTCTGTATGCAGACAACGAGGACCGGGCTGCGCGGTTTCACAAGTGAGTAAAGCGAAAGAAAACTCAAAGTGGTGAGTTTAGTTACCCCATGCCAGAAGTACCCGGTTTTGGTTGAACAATTCCTGACTTCCTAATCAAATGATTCAGATTTTTAAAAATTACATTTAGAATCTCAGGATGATTCTCACCCAGGGCAAATTTATATGTTTCCAGTAAATATATTCTAACTGGCCATTCTTTCACATTTCTCAAAATCTTAAGAGTTGATTTTAGCCAAAAACAGCCTGATTCTGTGATGCTGATTTTAAGAACTTCCATTCCACTAATTCAAATGATTTGTCATTATTATAATGATACTTAAATGTAAAGAAATTCTTGTGGCTTTATATGCGTTTAGCTAATACTATAATTATATTATCTAAGATCAGATGTTCACCAAAAAGCCTTACTGTACTGTATGTACCTTTAAATGAGTGTTGTTACTTGCTCCTAAAAACAGGTTATAGGAGGAGCTTCATTATATTCTTAAAATCTGGTTTCATTTAAAATATTAATTTCAGGATGTTTTGATAAACATTGGAATTTTGCTCTTTTAGCTATGTGACTAGTTCTACATCTTAATGTTTTTGCTGTAAACTAGACTAGCTCTCTTTTTTCTCTTCCAGAAACATGATCAAGTCCTTTTATACCGCAAGTCTTTTAATAGATGTCTTAACAGTGTTTGGAGAACTCACTGACGAAGTGAGTGTATATTCTTTATTGTCTTAATAGCTAAAGATGAGTATTGATGCTGTTAATTCAATTTTATTATGACCATGTTTATTTGGAGCAGCATATCTGTCTGAAATGTAATGTATGCAGCAAGTTGAATTTTAAATTTGCTATACATTTTAGAAAGTATAAGCAAAAGACATTTTTAATAATATATATACTTATTGTAGTAAGTTCTTTAAATTCAAATGTGTATTTTACCCTTTAGCAAATGCATGACTACTATATTGAGCAGCACAGATTTTGAGTTTTGTGTTATTAAGTGTTTAAATATTACTGAACCTGTATGCTATTGGTTTCTTCACTGATATTTGGTAAACATAGTGCAGGCAGAGACTTTTTTAGGACTTTTTGTCTGTTTCATTTCCACTGAGAAATATTGTTTATGGTTTGTTTCTGTTGCAAAATACATATAGAACATGATATTTCACAGACTATTGATGTGTTTCTCATAATTATTCTAAGGTAAGTAGAGGGCACACTCATTTTGTACAAAAGCAAGCCGAGGCTAAGTGACAAACATTGCCAGGAGTACAGTGTTGTTTTCACTGTCACAAGAAAGTTTGTCCCCTGTGAAGGGAGATGCTAATCTACAAAGAGGTAGGGAGAAAGAAAAGAGCCATAGTGAGACGGATAAAGGCATGCCGTATTGGTCATTTGAAATCTATCAAAAACATTGCTTTCTGTGACACAATTTTTTTTCAAAATGATGAACAAGCTCATAGTAAAGTTCCAAACAAAACAGTATAATCTATGAGATATTTGCATTTTTGTAAAACAATTTATGAAACTGTGCAAAAAGTTCTGTATGTTTGTTAGTAGAATGGAGGCTTGGTGGTTAAAAGCTGGGTTTTTGCATTGGCAGAGTTGTGCTGAATGAGGGACAGCTTCTTGTTTGATTGTTCCTTTTGTTTCAAAACACCAAGCACCCCTGGCCCTTGCCTCCATGACATTCCTCAGCATTCCGACAACCGGAAAGCACCCCGGATATTTCCAGAACTCCTTCTAGTGTGTGGGACAGTGCCCACCGGAGCCACTGCTGCGTAGTTGAGACGGTGGTGTGAGAGGAAACCGAGACCCGGAGTGGGGAGACCTGAAATGCTTCCCAGCGGGTGGCCTCTTCTGTGTTCCGAAGGCCTGGTGGACACACACTGCTTAGTTCCCTTTCTACTCCCTTCTCACTACTGATCTGGGTTTCCTTGTCACTCTGTGGGAGTCGTTTGGGGCACTATACTAGATACTTGAGGATGTCGTGGTGATTTAAACATGGCATTGTGGGAAGCTTTGCATAGTTCAGTATAGTTTAGAGAGTATCAGGCATGCAAAACAGAATGATGGACCTCAGATTAGAAAAGTAAGTTAGGTCAGAACAAATCCTACTGGAAAGAAATAAAGGCAGGTAACATAGTGTCGGAGTGAGGTGGCTGAGCACCTGAGGCCATCTCTGTGACATTTGTACGTAAAGACTTTTGGTCTTCTAATTAAATTCTTTTAAAAAAAAAATAGGAGGGTTTTTCTATGAGTGTGTGTGTTGTGGTTTTGTTGTTGTTGTTGTTTGCAAAAGTCACTGGGTCACCAGCTAGATTACTTCAATGTACATGATTATTGTCCAGTTCTGTTTCTGTACAACCTGTTGTTCGCTGTCATCGTTTCTGGAGAACCTGGGGACTTTTCATTTCCATTGCAACTTCATCCTATTTCATGTTTGTCAGGCTGTCTGCTTACATCCCCCTAGCTTTCACTACCAGGAACTTCGTACTTTCCACTTGCTTTAAGTTTTACCTTCTCTTTGAGACTCAGCTACATTGTTCTAGGCTTTATGTGCATTTCCCCATTCTCTCAACTCTTTAGAGCCTCAACTCTGTGACTAGGACTCAGTAAATGTACTGACTTGGGTTTAAGTGCAGTTTGCACACTGAGTAAATACAGTGGCTAGTTACAATTTCAAAAGTTGTTAATAGTTTAGCTTTTTATTTTTCTATCTGTACATGGGAATAATGTTTAGACCTGTTTACACAGAACATTCATAACTCTTCTGAAGTGCAATAGATCTCAACTACTCACAGTATTTTGGTCTATTTCCTGAAATTTTTTTTCCTTTTAATTTCATGTTATTACTCATAGTTGCACAAAACTAAATAAAATCTGTATTATCTTTAGTCTTTAACTGTTCACATATGTGTATATTATCCACCGCTGTTCTGTTTTTCACCTTTTCTATTGAGTTTGAGGTATATACATTGAACTCTTCCAACTGTGCCTTACGTAATTCCATCTCAGTATTTAAGTAAATTTGTTGTATACAAACTTCTAGCATTCCTGTAGCTTCTTGCATTCAGTGTCCCAGTTTTAGCTACAGAGTCACCAGAATAAACTTGAACTTTGTATTATAAAGAAATGTTCAAAACACATTTTATTTTCTTACCTCCTCATTACTCTATTATCAGTTATTGATAGGCTGTCTTTTGTATTTTAGATTTATATTATTTCTAGCAATGTTTAGGAACACATCATTTTTACTTTTTTTCTTTATAGTTTTTGGTTTAGACTTAATACTGCTAATGTAGGAAGAAGATGAGAATCACTCACTAAAAATAATGCTACTCTTATCTCTTGAGTTTCTGCTAATTTGAAGGAATCAATAAAGTATGTGTTTCCGCCCTCACAGACCTGTGTTCTCACTTGGAAAAAGAAGCAAAATAAGTAACTATAATGACAGGTGGTCTGGTAACGATTAAATACAGGGAAGGGGTGCACTTCTACCACCTGCCTGGCACTGTACGTAGACACTTTAAATATATTTTGTTCCATCTTCTCACCTGGGAATTACGGTGAGAGAACTGAGGGCCAGACAAGTACCTTGTCCCCAGGTGCTGTAGCCAAAACAGTTCTCAGACCCTGAGATACAGATCCAGCTTTTTCCCCTAATTTGCAGTCTGTTGCAGACTAATCGTTTTATAAAGTACAAGTAATAATTGAATTGCTAGAAAGATGAAACTTAAAAAAGGCATGCAGAATACATGCCTGGTTTGCATTAAGTTTCCTAAATACTCTCAATTTTTCTATTATTTTGTCATAAACCGGTGAGCAGTGTGCACATTGGCACTTGTCCTGGGACCGATTTTGTTCAGCACTGACCTAGGTCCCTCGGTGGGAGACCCCGGTGAGTCCTGTTTGTGTCCCAGTCCAGACCCTTGCTTCTGGAGAGTCAGGGCTGCAACACAGCTGGAGCAATTGTGTGCACGCATAGCCGTCTGGAAGGAAGTCGTCTGTTTAAGGCACCCTTCACACTGGATGTTTCTGAATTATACGCCATCCTTCTGCTATCCTAGAAAACCATGAAAAAGTGGGATAGTTTTATCTAATTAGAAGGCATGTGTTCACCTACACTTAACTTTTAATTAATTGTAAACAGTGTTTTTGCATGCAATGTTAGTGCAAAGTGGTTCAGTATGCTACAGGCGTTGGCTTCAAATTCCACATGCCACTTTGTAACTGGGCGAGTTATTGACTTATGTTCCCACATGTGTAAAATGAAGAAACTTGTGATACCTACTTCATCAAGTTGTCCTGTGTAGAAAATGAGAAAATGCATATAAAGCCTTTAGCAAAGTACCTAGCAATAGCAACTGCTTAAAAACAATTAGATTTTGCTTTTATTAGTTGATGGATAATGTTCTGGTGTAATGCATTTAGAGAGGACATCAGCAAATACATGAAAATTTTAATGGAAACTATTCAAAATTGCTCAGTCTTGTATATTAGATGAATTAATTTAGAAATAGATTTGCATTATATATTTCTGTTAACTGCCATCCTTCAAAGCATTGTTACCTTGTATATAAGGCATTGTTTTCTAAGACTGCTCTTTCAAGATTTTCTCTTCCATTGCTGAACCTCATTGGTTTGACGAAGATGCTCTCAGATATAGTTTTCTTTGTATTTATTTTACTTGGGGTCCACATGGAGAGATTCCAACATGTGTGATTGGAGGCCCCAAAAAGAAAATAAATAAAATGTAAAAGAAAAGATTTTGAAGAAATAGTGACAATAGATTTTTCTAAATTGGCTAAAGAAAGTTATGGATCCAAGAAGGTCAGCGGACCCCAAGTAAAATAAATACAAAGAAAACTATATCCGAGAATATCTTCGTCAAACCAGTGAGGTTCGGCAATGGAAGAGAAAATCTTGAAAGAGCAGTCTTGGAAGACAATGCCTTATACACAAGGTAACAATGCTTTGAAGGATGGCTGTTAACTTCCCCCTTTTAGAAGAGTGTTTGCAGGAAGGTAATGACATTGACGTATTGAAGTACTAAAAAAAATAAGCAAATAAACTCTGTCAACTTAGAATTCTATAAAGAGCAAAGGTGGCGTCCTTCCAAGAGCAAAGTAAATTGAGACATTTTCAGGCAGATTAATTCATTGCTAGTAAATGTGCAGTAAAGAACTGAAGAGCAAAAAAGGGAATTTTTCAGTCTGAAGGAAAATAATACTAGGTGGCAACTTGGATTTACAGGGAGGAGTGAAGTATATTGGACATATTACATAGGTACATATATATTTTTAAAACTATATGTTTTTATTTTTTAAATAAGCCCATTTAAATAAAAATGATCATATCTATACATATATATTTGTTTTTTATCTTTATAGTATTTTCCCTATTACCATGTAGTCCCACACACCCCTCCCCCCACAGCAGTCACCGAACTCTTGTCCGGGCCTGCGAGTCCTTTTTCCTTTTCGCTCAGCACAAAAGCAAACAAGGTAAGAGGGGGGAGGACCAAAAACAGATGGGACTAATACAAAACATAGAGCAAATTTTAGACCCAAATACAGCTAAATACAGTAAGTACCATAAGTGTAAATTTGGGCTAGCACTACCATATAAAAATAGAGATTTCCAGACTAAATAAAAAATAAGCTCTAACTTTATATTTGTTTACAAGATACACCCTTTAAGTATCA